AGCATTAGTGACCAGACAGGTGTGCTGGGGTACATATGAGCCGACAAGAAACTTTCTGACAGGAGGAAGGAGCAGAGTAAAAGGAGGAATGGCTCAACCCTGTACCGCTGTTGTGTCTTTATTGCCCATTCACAAGCTGGAGGCAGTAAAGTCAGCCATAGATGGAGTGATTTTCTTTCCTGTAGCCATGGGTTTCTCCAGTCAACACAGTCAGTGTCGATGGGAGAATCCCACCAGCAGAGCCATTGTGTTCTCTCGGTGATTACTGCTAGTGGCTATAATAGCTGCTAGCAAAAATTACACGTAAAATCTGACAGGCTGGTTGTATCCAAGTTGGTCGATCAATCAATTTGGGTACATTCAGCCTTGCTCATACATGGTTCAAATCTCAGCTGGTTCAGCGGGGATTTCGAACTGTCTATGCCTGGCTTTAGCTGATTTATCTGTGCTACTCACAGTAGGAGAGAAAAGACCGGTCACGGTTTTGGCCCTACTGTCAGTGCTATATAAAACTCAGGACTAGATGGAATGAAATGAAGATCTTTTTGTAAGTAAAACAACTGTTATCCATGTATTTCCTTGTTTATATTAAGCTGTTTATGTGGAGTTCAGCCGGGATTCTAATTCTCATCACGCACATTCTAATTATGCATTTAGTGAAGTTACAGCGGTCTAGCTTATGCCTCTCTCTCTTCCAGTCTGAGCTTTGCTGTACCAAATAAAATTCAGCTACTTTAGAAATGTATTAATAAATGCAGAGCTGCATAATTTTGTGTTTTTATATCTGCGTAAAGTTCAGCTCTAAAGAAGAGAGCTGTATGAGACTAAATAATATAGTCAGCCAAGGGCACAATAAAAAGCCAGTTGAATCTGGGGTAATTTGATGTGGATTTTCTGAACTAATTGTAATATCCGCTGTACAGCATTTGAAGGTCACTGCTGGGTCTTATTTGTTGCCTTAAGTTGCTTTTTAACAAAAACTATAGCTTGTGGGCATTCTTAGCCCTCATGCACAGTGGATGTTTTGATAATGCTGGTAACCTTAACTGTGTAAAGTCACTTTAAAAACGCAAGTTTTTTTTAGCATTAGTGCATTAGCATTCACCAGCGTTTTGCCGGGATTAGCTGCGTTTTCCCGCATTTTTCTGCGTTTGGATTTTTAGCGTGTTTTTTTACCAAACAAAATATTTTGTTTGGTCAAAAACAGTCCAAAAACAGCGTTTTAACGCATTTTGCCGCTTTATTCAGCTAAAAAAACTCCTAGAGGCCCACTAGTCCTGGGTTTTTATTCCAGCCAAAAAACGTCCCCGCTAAAAATCGTTGATTACAGTCTGTGTGTGCATGGACACATAGGATAGCATGCTGGGGGGCTTACTGGGTGTAGAAAAAAAACCCATCAAAAGCCAAAAACAGCAGCTGTAAAAACGTCCAGTGTGCATGAGGACTTATGCAGGGAGTCAGTGGTGTCAATTTTATCCAATTAGAGATTTACTACCAAATTATGTACTGGGGCAAAAGAAGAAAAGTGTTTATGGGACAAAAACAGTCCTAAGACAGATATGGACAGTGGCCCTATGCGAGAGGGGAGGTGGGTTGAACAGGGTCTTTTGAACGACAAGTCACGGTGCTGCTTAAAGACCGGATTCGAATTTTATTTCCGATCAATGTTTAATTTCAGTTACTAAACTTCAGTTACAATGTTGGATTGTGTTTAGTTATTAGAGGTTATTGCATTCATCAGTCTGACCTGTATGTGTTTTACTGAAATGCTGTTTCTGCCTACCGCTCTTGTGAAAATCAAGCAAAACACAAGTAACAGTACATTTGCTAGAGGCTGAAATCAAAACTATTTGCCTAGCGCCTGATGTCACTGGAGAAGAATGTGTTCTGATTTTCTGTCTTTTTTTTTTTTTTTTTCTTTTTTTGTGGCTTGGTGTTTTTATCATGATTCTTACAACATCATAAAACAAGTTTCACAAAGTTTGTGTTAACTATTGTACATCCAAATTGCAGATATTAGATTCCAAAAATGTATATAAATTGACTATTAAAGTTCTTGGGCAGGAAAAGATGTACTTATTGCTGACATCTCTGAACCCACCACGTTTTTTTTTTTTACTAAGATGGTGACATTTCATTATGGTGAACTAATTAAAAAAAACAAAACTATTTTCTTTTCTCTTTAGAGATGTAGGAGAGGGCATTATTAGTAAATGCTGAGAATGTCCAAATAATTTCCAGGGCATTTGAATACTATCACTGACACTGCTACAAAGAATAAAGGCAGACACCAGACTAATGCAGGCCATACATGGTTTGAATACCAAACGATTTTTCATCTGAAAATTGAAAACGTCATTCGCTCGGTAATCTGATGGTGCCATCAATGATTTCGAAAATCGGCCGACCAAGTCATAAAGTTCACCACATATAACAGGCGAAACTTCTGTTCCTTCCAGGTGCACGGCTCATGCGCATATTCTTTTCAGAAAAATGATCGTGCGATTTGACCATCATTGAGTAGAAAATGTCATTTTTCACAAATTTTGCAACATGCAAATTTTACCAATCAATGAAAAGGGGAGGAACCATAAAAATCGGCCGGTGCCATTGACCAACTAATAGAGCGAAAATCGGTCGATTATTCTTAGTTCCAACTTTTGGACAAAAAATCTTCGGATTTCGACCCATGTATGTCCGGCCTAAGCAAATGAGAGGTTGTACAGCTGCATTGTTTTCCTTGCATCTCTGATAACTAATGGTGCACCGAAATTAAAATTCTGGACCGAAACTGAAATAAACATTTTTTTTATAAAAATATTTTTTTATGTATAAATGTATTACATTCGACTTTTTAATTAATATCATGAATTTAAATGAATGTGAGCTTAAAAAATACAATCCGATAACGTAAAATAGCTTTTTTTGAAAGTAACACACAAAAATTGGACAGAAAAAAATAAAATAGAGGCGTTTCTGATTGACGTCAATAGGGGTGTTTTTGCATTGGAGTCAATAGGACGCGATTTAGCATTTGAAGTCAATATGGGGTGTTTAAACATTGGAGTCAGTGGCATGCGATTTTGCACTGAAATCAGTGGGACGCAAGTTTGCATTGAAGTCTATAGGGAGCAATTTTGCATTGGACTCAATAGGAGGCAATTTTGCATTGCATTAGCAGCACTTTTTTTTTTTTTTTTTTTTTTTTAATTGGCAAACCGCTAATATGCCTATTTTCGATGTATCGGTGCATCACTACTGATAACCCAGTTAGCTGTCTTGGGTTACTCACAAAAAAAAATGTAAAGTTCAACTAAAGGTTCCCTTTAAGACATTGTAAGCAAGTATCAAATCCAGTTACTGTATGATGCACAAGCCTCATAAAGTAATCAAAAACTTAATTTATGTCTCACATGCTTCCCTTTCCAGACACTGCAGCTCACAGTGGGAGGGTTTAAGCAACAGAAGCAGTTATGCCAATCCAGAAAGCAGTGGGCAGGACTGGGTGTGGTCAGGTGGTGACTGACGAGCTGCATGTTTGTCAATCACCAGTGACAATGCTGACAGCCACAACCCCTGTAACATCATCCTGTCCAATGTAGTGCAAGCAGACACAGCCTACATGAGATTGCCAACTCTGCTGTGAAATCGGGAGCAGTGCACCATCAATGCCACATCATCACAGCTGCATTAGGTGGACTCAGGGGCGGACTGACCATTTGGAAACTCGGGCACTGCCCGAGGGCCCGGGGTCAGTAGGGGGCCCCATGAGATGCCCCTGGTACCTTTTTCATAGGCTTTTTTGAGTTTGGGCAAGGACACAGGGGTCCCATGATCCCCTAGGGCACTGCCTGAGGGCCCGGGGTCAGTAGGGGGCCCAATGAGATGCCCCTGGTACCTTTTTCATAGGCTTTTTTGAGTTTGGGCAAGGACACAGGGACCCCATGATCGCCTATTGCCCGGGGGCCCCATGAGTTGTCAGTCCGCCCCTGGGTGGACTTTATTGGCAAGTTCAACAAATATTTATAATATTGCTGCGGCCTATGTATATATTTTCAGTGGGTGGGAATCCTGGCTCTATTCTACATTATAGTTATACTATGAAATTGCTAATAATTACTCCTTTGTACCCCCTATTCTTTTTTTATAGTAACCTTTTTTTCTTTTCTTTTCAAAAGGAATATTTGTATATCAAAGTGGCCCTATACTCTTGCTATGTGAACAGTCTTGCTGGGATAAGTAATTCAGGAGTAATACAAGTGTTTAAATACTTCTCTTTATTGGAGGAGATTCTTCAACATTTATGTAGGAATACTTTAAGGTTACTTTCACACTGATCCGCCGCAAAACTCATATGCATTAGTACCACGCCTTCTAAGCGGTTTTTAAAGGACATGTGACTTAAAAAATGGTTCTCAGAGGCGCTGTTCAGCCATTATTCATTTATTTCAATGGGAAGAAATGTTTTTGGGCTGTTTTTTTTTTTTTTTTTAACTCACCATATATGCTCCAAAGATGCTGCAAGCAAGAGTTTTTACACCGCACCACAAGCGCCAACGCCTCTGTGAAACCATACATACCATATACATTCACATACATAGGGAAGCGTTTTTCTTGAGCTTTTCAGATGCTTTTTTTAACGTTAAAACGCTTTAAAAACTCCTCTGTGTGAAAGTAGCCTAAAGCAGACTTTTTCTTTATGTCTGCTGGTCCCTCTCGCCACTGTCATTAAAAACAAACTGCCACATTGCTACTTCTGCTTTCCAGCTATGGCCAAGGACAAGTGCTGTGCTAGGCACTACTCCATGAGAGTAGCAACGATAGGGATCAGTCAGTTTTTGACTTTAGGTCCACTTTAATTTCTTTTAGGCATATTTCTCTATTTTACCTTGGTATAACTGGTCCTGAAATCCCCAAATCCAGAGTACTCCTGATAACAAATGACATACCTTTACTTACATTTATAAATAATGTGGGTTCTCTTTCCTTTTTTTTTTCAGAAAGAACTATCAGGACATAAAAATATCGTTGGATATATAGACTGTGCCATTAATTCTACCAATGATAATGTCTGGGAGATCCTTATCCTAATGGAATATTGTAGAGGTAATTTTTTTTTTAACTATTGTATGAATATATATATAGTTAAAATATATATCTCTGTCAGTTGTGATCCAATGGCTGGACAGGAGTGTCATGGGACTCAGAAAAAGCAGCCCTGGATGGGACTGCAACTGCTGCTTCTACCTTTGACCACTGGAAGAAGGCATGCTAAAAAGTAAAGCTTGTCATACATTATACAATTTTCTTGTGCAATTTTTGTACAATCTCCTTTAGATTCTTCAACTACGTAGTGCAAAGGCCTGTCTGATTGGATACAAATTGAATGTTGTTTAGGTTTGACCTCATATCATATGGTTTAGGTAAATCTAAAGGAAAATTGTACAATAGGATTGTATAATGTATGGCCATCATAAGTATACTATAATGTGCAAGAATGCTATGCATAAGTGGTGAGCGCTCACTCCCACAGTTTGCAATTTAGTTCCTCTTTAGGTTGAAAAGAAATTGAAATCAACTGTATACATTGCAAGGGTTTCAAATAACTTTATTATTCTACTCACATTGTTTTGTGCTGTAGAGTTGATGCCATCGATTGGTGTATCTACCTAGCATAATCCCTTAAGACCACTGCTGCAAATATAAACATTTTTCTTCTGGTATCTATTAGAAGCTTGGTATTCCTTGCTAGCATGTCAACAGAAATGAAACTCCCAAGTGCAGAGCATTGCTTTGGATAGCGGTACTAAACCTCAAGCTCTGCAGCCTTGCAGAAATATTGGAAGCTTAATGCTAAAGTTTAGTATACTTTTTTGGGATACAGCACAAAACACATTGGCCAAGTATGATTATGTATTATTTAATCTGCAGGTGGCTGTTCCTTGTTAAATCTTTGCTGCATTGTCTCCTTCGCAGTTGCTAGATACCACACTGAATTTCTGTCTTCCAGTGGTATGAAGGTTAACTCTGCTACTGAGAAAAGTTGCTCTGTCTTCTCCGCCCCTTCTGCTATCTTTGCCTTTTTATATTGCTTATATTACTACACTTTCACAGTGCATCGTTTCCTGTATATGAGCGCAGGTGATCCCTGTCATTTAATTGCTCCTCCATTCACAGAATGTTATGCGTTGTGTGATAATTGCAATATCAGTTTTTGTGAATGGCGAAAAGGGCAGGAGGGGGCAGGCTAGTAGCCCGACTTTTCTTAGCAGCAGTGGCTGCTGTTAACCTTCACATCGCTGGAAAACAGACATTCAGGATGGTATTTAGTGGTTGTGAAGGAGACGTTGCAGTGTTGATTTTCACTTGTAAGTGATCAGATAATGGGGTGATACATACCATTATACATACTTAATGTGCTTTGTGCTGTAAAAAATAAAAAAAATTCAGCTTTAATGCAGGAGCAATCTATAAACGCAAGACTAAAATTTTTGACAGTTTTTGTAGTCAAAGAAATGTGTTATTCAAAAAGTTGTGTATATGTGTGTGTGTGTGTGTGTGTGTGTGTGTGTATATGTTAGTAAGTATGTGTGTGTGTATATAAATATATATATAATGTATGTGTGTATGTATGTATGTATGTATGTATATATATATATATATATATATATATATATACATAGTTACAATTGATTGGTCATTTGTTTATTGTTCTACCTCATCCTAATATATGTTTCCTAAGTGTATTACGTACTGACTGCTTCTATACCATATATATGGTATAGAAGCAGTCAGTACGTAATACACTTAGGAAACATATATTAGGATGAGGTAGAACAATAAGCAAATGTCAGATCAATTGTAACTGTAGAAGATTTATAGGAGCCTGTTAGTGATGGTACAATAGATCTAACCTACGGTAAGAGAATCTCAAAAAAAATAGGGGGGGTAATTGGGTAACATGGAAGATACATGTGCAGCCAAGCTAATTTCAACCGTTTTTTGTATTATGACTAACTTCAGATTGAAATGGAAAAGTCATTTGTAATAACAGTAAGTTATAGTCAAATATAAGGAACATTTCCCTTATATAATCATATGAGCTGTTTCTGCCAGGCATCTGGGAAAAGCTTGTGACTGATTACTGTAAATGCAACATAGTTTTTATTAACTGTCAGTATTGTAGCTTGCGTGAAAATATCACAGCATGTTTCCTTTACCTGGTTCTCTGGTGGATTGTATGACTGTTGCATTTATTTGGAAATGTTTTATAAATGTGAGAACCAAGGATAATATTTACTTACAGTTGTGCTCAAAAGTTTGCATACCCTGGTAGAAATTGTGAAATTTTGGCATTGATATCGAAAAGGTAATGGAACTTTATAAAGATGGAAAAGGACATAAAAAGATGTCCAAAGCCTTGAATATGCCAGTTATCACTTCCACTAAGAAGTAAAAAAATCAGGGACCTCTTGATACCAAGCCAAGTACAGGTAGAGCAAGAAAGATTGCAGCCACAGCTGCCTGAAGAATTTTTCGGGATACAAAGGGAAACCCATACGTAACCACAAGAAAAATACAGGCTGCTCTGGAAAAAGACAGTGTAGTTGTTTTGAAGGAGCACAATATGATGACACTTTAACAAAAATGAGCTGCTTGGTCGAGGTGCCAGAAAGAAGCCTTTACTGCATCAATGACACAAAAAGGCCTGGTTAGGCATGTCAAGGTGTTGTCAGGCATACTGTAACTGGGCTTTTTTTGGCATTGGTGCAGTAAAAGCTTCTTTCTGGCACCTCAACCATGCAGCTCTTTTTTGTTTAAGTATCACCGTATTGTGCTCAAAAACAACCTCACCATCTTTTTCCAGAGCAGCCTGTATTTCTTTTGAGGTTGCCTGTGTGTTTTTCTTTGAATCCCGGACAATCCCAGACAATTATTCTGTCAGTTATGGCTGCAATCTTTCTTTATCTACCTGACCTTGGCTTGGTATCATGAGATCCCCAAACTTTCCACTTCTTAATAGGTGATTTAACAGTACTGATTGGCATATTCAAGGCTTTGGACATCTTTTCATGTCTTTTTCCATCTTTATAAAGTTCCATTACCTTGTTACGAAGGACATTTGATAGTTCTTTTCTGATCCCCATGGCTCAGTATCCAGCCTAGTCAGTGCTTCCACGTAAGAGCTAGCAAACGCATCATTGACTATTTATACACTGACACTAATTGCAATTTAAAAAGCCACAGATGTGCGACATTAACCTCTAATTGGCATTTTAACCCGTGTGTGTCACCTTGTGTGTCTGTACCAATGCCAAACATTCCAGGGTATGTAAACTTTTGATCTTGGCCATTTGGGTGATTTCTGTGATTATGATTTAAAAAGGAGCCAAACAACTATTTGATAATAAATGGCTTCATATGATCATCCTTTAATAAAAGAGCATTTTTTGGCATGATCAGTCATATTTTTTAATATCAATGCCAAAATTTCACAATTTGTGCCAGGGTATGCAAACTTTTTGAGCACAACTGTATTTGGTATTTTAGTTGAAGTTTGTATTCATCACTTTTTACCATGATTTTTTTTTCAAAGTTAGGAACTACAGTATATATAGTTTTGCCAAATTCTATATTTAATTTATATCACAAAACCCAGAAGTGCTCAACATTTAGCAGTTTGCATGCTATTACCATAGTTTATTGAATTCTAAAGGCCAGTTTCTAAAATGTCAATGTTTTACCAGGTCTTTCTTTGATGTAAAACTTGTTAAATAGAGAACAAATAGAAATTTTATTTCATATTTTTCTCTGTTGGGTATGTGATTATCATACCCACACTTGTTACAGCTCCCTGCTAAACAGTCAAATAGAAATATTTTGCATTCAAGAAATGTGAAATCAAAAAACCATTCTATTGTTTTTGAAGAGGAACTTATCTCTGGAAGATATGCCTTTAAAAGAAAAAAAAAAGAAAAGGCAGGCATAGGGCAAAGAAATATTCACTAGTATTGCATGTGTTCATCATACAGTTGATTTTTCTCTCCACTACTGATATTGTCTCCATCAAGAACAGTGAGCAACATAGCAATGACATCACCAAATCTCACTTTAAATCACTTGAGACTAGCAATCCAAGGCAGTGGTGCTTTAGGTCTACATTGCAGATATACCGCTATGAAGGCTGTAGGTGTGAGAGTGCATAGAATCGACCACATATCAAGACGTGCAGTTCTATTTTTCTTTAGGAAGAATTAAACACAAAAGGTAAAACGTTCAGGGTACTGCTCAGGCACCAGCAATGCTTGTAGATGTTCCCGAAAAAGGATCAGGGCCTTTCTAACCCTCTTGTATTGAACTGTATTATCTCCCTTTATTTTGTAAAGCGCTGAGCAAACTGTTGGCGCTATATAAATCCTGTATAATAAAAATAGCAAATCTTCTCTTTCTTTTTTTGTCCACTGAGGGAAACATGAACAGTCTAGTTATACTGCCACCTGCAAGAGAACTAGGCATGGGCAACAAATAATTTGTTGGCCTGCACAGGATAACCCCATCCACAACCATCATGCCTCAGTTTTCTGCTAGTATCCTAAGGGGAAGGGATGTGTTTTCTCAATATCTTGCTTTCAAAGACGTTTCTGTTATAAAGATCTGATGTTAGATTCATACCAGATAAGTTAACTCCTGGAAATCTCTTCAATTAGCCAACAAGTGCTGGTAGATTCATAATAGATAAATTAAGCCCTAGAAGTCTCTCCAGTCAGCCAATAGGTGTAGGTTTTCCCATGTTTTTGACTGGTGTTCATGCTGCAACAGTCCTGAATTTCTGGAAGTATCTACAAAAAATTAATTTAGCCCAGATATGAAAAGCTTAAAGTACAGCTTTCTGGTCAAGCAGGGCTGGTTCCCAGGTTGCTATCTACACTAATGTTTTCTCTGCTGACCGTTCCTGTCTGCAGTGACTACTTATCTGTGTTCCAGTGTACAGGTCTCTGCTATTCAGGTCAGATCACTATATCTGGGGTGTCTGTACCAAGATACCAGTTCAGAGCTGAGACCATTTTTTTCTGTTTCCATCTCTGCAACTCCGATAAGATCAAACTGTATTTTTTCTCCTTCTGTAATTAAGAAAAGTCATTTTCATTTCTCCAGGACTACAAAATGAAGTTTCACTTCTTGGTGTACTCCTCTCCTTCCTGTGTCACCATATAGATAAACAGATCTCCATGTAGCCTTTTTGGGTCTTCTGTAACTAGGTGTTATTTTTGCAGTTCCTGTGTTCCACAGTTGTAGTTTTTTCTAACCTGTTTACTGTTTCTATACCCAATTGGAGCATTCACCTCATCTAGGATTACTCTGTATGTCTTCATTTCATTCCAGAAATTTCCAAGAGAGTCAAGAAGAGTCTTTTCCACCCCAGCACCAGGGAGGCTTTCTGGCTGCATACCTACATTTTCCCATTTTTTTCCCAGTGCATCTGAATTTCCTTTGCTTTTCTATGGGAGTCTACATCACCAATTTGGGGCCTTACCTTTTAGCCTCTTGTCTCCACCTTTGGTGTTTACCAATGTGCTGGCCTAGTATTATGCATACTGTGCTCTTTTGGAATCCCCATTTCAGGATGAACTACTAGGGAACAGTCAATAGAGGCTCTCTTGGACAATGTGGTCTTGACAGTTGAGATGTTGGAGCCGCTAAGTTTGATTCTACTCCCTTAGAAATTGTTGCTGGAATCAGTATCTGGGTCTAGTCCTGGACACAACTTAGGTCAGAGTCTTTCATCTATTGGAGAAGCTTCAGATTCTTGGATCTCAGATTTTGGTTCTCCGGTCTGGGAGTTATCTGCCCTTTCCCTTTTGCAGGAGGGGTCTTGGGCCTGATGGCAGTTTTCCTTTCAAGCAATTTCATTTCATTCCAGACCTCTATAATGTGACATTCTGGGCACAATTCACTAAAGCTTATCGCAAGAGTTAAGTCAGTCACATGACCACACATCGCATGCCATACTGAAAGTGTCAATTCACTATTGCTAGTATGCGGTATTTACCGAAAATGGAAAAACCACTCAGTAAATACCACATAAAAGTACCTTTAAGTCAGTTCACAAAAGTAAATAATTAAATGCATGCGGTAATTAAATAGTGGTCCAGGCATGCGGTATGTACTGGTATCTGTCAGTATTGTCCTGGGCTGTTAAGGAATGGGTGGCCGCCGAGTCCTTAACAACCTATGAGTCATTAGCTGTCAACGGGGTTCCCCACTGACAGCTGAATGTAAAAAAAAAAAAATTGACGGCAATTAAAAAATAATACAAAAATGGCATGGGGTTCCCCCCCCCCTCCTCCATCCATACCAAGCCCTTCAGGCTACATGCCCTTAACATGGGGGGGTGCTTTGGGGTGGGGGCGCTCTACCTCCCGAAACGCACCTGGTCTCCATGTTGATGGCTGTTTAGGGTCTGCGAGGAGCCCCCCGCCCCAAGGCACCCCCCCCATGTTGAGGACATGTGCCCTGGTATGGTTCAGGAGGGGGGCGCTCTACCCCCCCCCCCCTTCCTGACCTGCCAGGCTGCATGCTCGGATAAGGTACTGGTATGGATTTTGGGGGGAACCCCACACTTTTTTTTTTCTTGGCATTTTTTAAATTGCTGGCAATTCTTTTACATTCAGCTGTCAGTGGGGAACCCACGTATGGTTTTCACTACTAAAATACCGCATGACTTGGTAAAATAACGCATGCGGTATTTTAGTAGTGTTTTTTTGTGAATTCAAATGTTTTTTTTAAAAAAAAAATACTATGCTGTATCCTACCGCATACTCTGTTGCAGTAAGGTACCGCTTGGTGAATTGTGCCCTCTGTCACCATGAGATGTCAGTTTAGCCCCAGAATAGAAAGATTTGTGTGACACTTAGGTCCAGGATATCCTTTGGTGGTCAGGATCACAGCTTTGATATAGGAGAGTCCTTTCTTTTTGAAGATCCTCATGATAATTGTCAGGTTATCGAGCTGATGAGGAGAGGCAGTGTTCTTGTTGGTGCAAGGGACTTGGTCTTCATCAGAATGTCATCTCCCAATCAACATTATAGTTTTTTGGGTCTTTGGGCTCTCTGCAGCTTTGGGCCACTGTGCTGAAAGATCATTTAGTCTCAGTTCAGTCAGACAAGGCAAACCCATACTCCATATTTATGGTCATCGGATCAGTTTCCACCCTTTGCTGTCAAGAAGCATTCTACTAGATCTGTTAGTGCTCTTTGGTCATTTTGATACCTAGCAACCTTTCTAAGTTTTCAAGGCTACTATCAAATGTTTTTTGTGTTCTATCAGGTGGATATTCAGTCCTTATCTGATGCAAGCTTCACACTTTCAATCCCTTTGCTTGCAGCTGAAAGAGCGTCTGTCTCTAGGTTTTCTTGGGTCTGTCAGGTTTGCTTTGTTGCTATGTTTTCCACTTCCTCTGTTGGACTGCCTTTGGACCAACCAACAGTCCAAGAATTCCTGTCTCCCTCAATGAATGAGAAGGAAAATAGGATTTTTGTATGTACTGTAATCTCCTTTTGTTGGAGCCCATTAAGACACAGGTCCCGCTCCTCTTTATTTTCATGATTTCAGGACTACTTTGCTAGAATAGTGAGACGTGACAGTTGTGGGTAGGATTATTCTGTGCTGACCAATAGCTTTTTTGATATCACTGTCAATTTCTTCTGTAGGTAGCAGTATAACCCAGTCTAAGAATTCCTGTGTCCCTCAATAGACTTAAATTATTTTACCATGCGTGCAAAAAATTTATTTATTTATTTATTTATTTTTAAATTTAGCCCCGCTTTAAGCTTTCCAGCACTTCATGTAACTGTTTGCCAAAATCACACACTGGTATTTTGGTCTGTAGAGGCAAGATGTTTTTCTCGTGTAGTTCCCATCTCTGCTTTCCCTGGCCCCTTCTTGAGCTTGGCATTTCTGATCTTATACTGCAGCTTGAAAAGTGTCACTATTAGTGGTCTATCATATAATATATATATATTAATTAATTTTACAAATGAGAAGTCTAGCAGATAGATTAATGGGAAAGTACATGCAGCCTGGGATTTTATGTGCACAGTTTTTTACCAGTGAAGTCCCTGACAGACAAAAAGACGATGAATAATTCAAGCAAAATGTTGTTAAAAACTTGGATGTTGGGCGTTTAGTGGAGTTAAGAAACAAAACAAAACAAAAAACAGATACTGGCTTTTGTGTTTGTGTAAATTTTCTGTTCAGTTTTATTATGAAATTCATTTTGTTTTGTCAGCTGGACAAGTTGTAAATCAAATGAATCAGAGGCTACAGTCTGGGTTTACGGAGGCCGAGGTTTTGAGGATATTCTGTGACACATGTGAAGCTGTTGCAAGACTTCATCAGTGCAAAACTCCAATTGTGCATCGAGATCTAAAGGTAGTTTTCTTATTTTTCTTTTCTGATTTGTATATTCAGCATATACTGTACCATCACACACAGCAGTAACAGGAAATTGGGGGTATGCGGCTTACTAAAAACATTTGTGCTATATGTATGCGTGTTTTATATATACACATACACACACAAATGAGACAATTTTTGTATTTAATTAGTTGGAAAATGAGAGAATGCTTTACTCTAAAAATTGATGTTTTGATTTTCCCAAAACCAAATCTTGAATAGAAGGATACATTTATGTATATTTAAAGTAGAACTCAATGAACAAACTCTTCCATTAAAATACACTGCTCAAAAAAATAAAGGAACACTTTGAAAACCGATCAGTGGGGAAAAAATATCATGATGGATATCTATACTAATATGGACTGGGTAATGTGTTAGGAACGTAAGCATGCCCCATTGTTTGTAGGTTGATAATTTTCATTTCCATCAGAGGACTGAATTCAAAGACACCCCAAAAATCAAAGTGAAAAAATTATGCAGCCGGCTAGTCCATTTTGCTGAAATTTCATTGCAGCAACTCAAAATGAGTTCCCCCACATGCTTGTATGCATGCCTGACAACGTCGAGGCATGCTCCTAATGAGACGAAGGGTGGTGTCCTGGGGTATTTCCTCCCAGATCTGGACCAGGACATCATTGAGCTCCTGGACAGCCTGAAGTGCAACCTGGCGTCGTCGGATGGACTGAAACATGATATCCCATAGCTATTCTATTGGATTTAGGTCAGGTGAGCGTAGGCTCCATTCAATGGTATCAATTCCTTCATCCTCCAGGAACTGCCTGCATACTCTGACCACATGAGGCCGGCATTGTCATGTACCAGAAGCAACACAGGATCCATTGCACCAGCGTAGGGCCTGACAATGAATCCAAGGATTTCATCCCGACACCTAATTGCAGTCAGGGTGCCATTTTCTACCCTGTAGAGGTCCTTGTGTCCCTCCATGGATATGCTTCCCCAGACCATCACTGACCCACCACCAAAACGGTCATGCTGAACGACGTTACAGGCAGCATAACATTCTCCACAGCTTCTCCAGACCCTTTCACGTCTGTCACATGTATTTAGGGTGAACCTGCTCTCATCTGTGAAAAGCTCAAGGCACCAGTGGCAGACCTACCAATTCTGGTGTTCAATGGAAAATGCCAATCGAGCTCTGTGTTATGCTGGGCAGGGCCTACTTGAGGACGTTGGGCCCTCAGGCCACCCTCATGAAGTCTGTTTCTGATTGTTAGGTCAGAGACATTCACACCCAGTGGCCTGCTGGAGTTCATTTTGTAGGGCTCTGGCAGTGCTCATCCTGTTCCTCCTTGCACAAAGCAAGGAGCAAATGTCAGTCCTGCTAATGGGTTAAGAACCTTCTATGTCCCTGTCCAGCTCTCCTAGAGTTAACTACCTGTCTCCTGGAATCTCCTCCATATCCCAGGAGTTTAATTGACTTGATGCTATACTCTGATTCAAAAAGTGTTCCTTAAATTTTTTTGAGCAATGTATATTCATGGCCATGAAGTATTGAAATACACTTTTCTGTGCACAAAATGTTTTTGCAAGCCCTTTTCGTAGCAGTGATATAAACGCTGATCTGTGCCTAGCCTGTTCAGAGAGGAAATCTGTGGAGAGACCCAGCAGCTCTCCCTACTACAGGCTGCCAGCAGAAAATCCAGATTGATGAATATTAGACCAGTCACTGGTCACAAGGAAAAAGAGCAGCAGTGACTGGTCTATATTACTGGAAACTCCTAAATAAAGACACACCTTCATACTGGATTACTTCAAAGATCTGACTGAAATACTCAAAAGACCCCAACATTCAAGTATTTACTTACAATCCTCTTGTATTTAGACACAGATTGTTTTGCCTGGAATTCGGCATTAAAGTACAATTGAAGTCACATACAGTTGTGTTCAAAATAATAGCAGTCAGACATCACTAACCTGATCAATCACTGTTTTTGGTAGAAATGATATTTCTACATGGCAAATAATTTACTAGCAGGTGTAGTAGAGTAATAGAAATCCAACAGACCCAACAGTCATGACATGCATGTTGCTGATTCTGTGTAATTGAATCACTAATTAATTGAAAGGGGCATGTTCAAAATAATAGCAGTGTGGAGTTCTATTAGTGAGGTCATTCATTCTTTGAAAAACAGGTGGCACTTATTGCCCTTATTTAAGGAAGGAAGGCAGCAAATGTTGTACATGCTGGTTACAGTGCATTTCTCTCTGAAATTCTGAGAAAAATGGGTCGTTCCAGACATTGTTCAGAAGAACAGCGTACCTTGATTAAAAAGTTGATTGGAGAGTGGAAAACATATAAAGAAGTGCAGAAAATGATAGGCTGCTCAGCTAAAATAATCGCAAATGCTTTAAAATAGCAACCAAAACCTGAAAGACGTGGAAAGCGAAAACCTACCATTCGAATGGATAGAAGAATAGCCAAAATGGCAAGGACTCAGCCAACAATCAGCTCCAGGAAGATCAAAGAAGGTCTAAAGTTACCTATGAATACTGTTACAATTAGAAGACGCCTATATGAAGCCAAGCTATCTGCAAGAAGCCCCTGCAAAGTCCCACTGGTGAAAAAAAGACGTGCTGAAGAGGTTACAATTTGCCAAAGAGCACATTGACTGGCCTAAAGAGAAATGGCGCAACATTTTGTGGACTGATGAAAGTAAGATTGTTCTTTTTGGGTCTAGTGGCCGGAGACAGTTTGTCAGACGACCCCCAAACACTGAATTCAAGCCACAGTACACTGTGAAGACAGTGAAGCATGGTTGTACAAGCATCATGATATGGGGATGTTTCTCATACTACGGTGTTGGGCCTATTTATCGCATACCAGGGATCATGGATCAGTTTGAATATATCAGAATACTTGAAGAGGTCATGCTGCCTTATGCTGAAGAGGAAATGCCCTTGAAATGGGTGTTCCAACAAGACAACGACCCCAAACACACCAGTAAACGTGCAACATCTTTGTTCCAGACCAACAAGATTGACGTTATGGAGTGGCCAGCCCAATCCCCGGATCTTAATCCAATAGAAAACTTGTGGGGTGACATCAAAAATGCCGTTTCTGAGGCAAAACCAAGAAATAGAGAAGAACTGTGGATTGTAGTCCAATCATCCTGGGCTGGAATACCTGTTCACAGGTGCCAGAAGTTGGTTGACTCCATGCAACACAGATGTCCAGCAGTTCTCAGAAACAGTGCTTATACAACTAAATATTAATTAAGAGATTCAAAGGAAAGTGAATGTAGTTATATAATGTAGTTTTATATAATGTAGTTATATAGTGAATGTTTGAGTTTGTAAAGAAGAATACAAACACTGCTTTTTTTTTTGAACAGTCTAATATTCACTTTTCTTCAATTTTTTTTAGAGGAACAACACAAATTTGATATATTTTTCTTCATGTTTTTAATTGGAATAGAATGTGTAGTGTTCCCAATGCATTTGTGTGTATGGAAATAAAAGCTATTAGAAGGATTTTTAGCTTTATTCACTTTTTTTCAATACACTGCTATTATTTTGAACACAACTGTACATAGATACGCAGGTATCATATGCAGTCTGAGAGACATTATATTAGCTACTTCCATCTTCATAGTCTCACGTCCATTATCTTGTTTAGGGATGAACTGCTTCCGAGATGTGAGCGGGCCCCTGCACACAATGCAGGACTGCAAGTCCTGCATTGCATAAGATGATGTTGGTGAGCAGCAAAGGAAAGAGGATCCAGGGAATCATTCTTGCAGCTGGGAGGCATCCTGCCATTGTTAAGAATATGGATAGTGTTACTGTTTATTCCTTACTCCTGGACTAAACAAGGAGTGCCTGGAGTTGGGCTTTGAAGATTTACAACAAGATGAATGTTCACATGTAACATTTGTGAATAGATGCTTGTAAAGTAAAATCATTTTAAGTGGATTTGCATTTGATTTTGGTAATTTAACTTAGCAGTTTAAGTATTCCCCTTTCATCCTTGCTGATCCATTGTTTTACCAATATCCCCAATCCTGTAGAATTTTACACTTTTGTTTGGGTTGATTTTCTGTTCCTATGGCTGCATGATGTGGTCCCTTTTGGCAGCCTCCTATGGAAAAATTGGATAAATCATTATCTGGCCTACTCACTCCTAAAATCTTAAAAAATGTGAACCTCGCCTATCTGAAAAAAACTTCTGGTTACCCATAAGCCCTCGTTGTCCCTGAGAGAAAAGAAAATTACTCCTCCCAGAGTAGTGTTAAAACATTTTTAACTCATTTATTCTGTCATGCAACGCCCATAATATGGAACTCAACGCTTTTGCGATTCATAAACCATGCAATCATCTTGAATAAAAGCAAATTGAGTTTAAAGTGCATGTATAGCCAGAACTCTCTTTTTTTTAGTTTGGATAACGTAGGGAAGACTTGAAACGCCTGACTGTTTATTTTTTGCTGTCTGTGTATCCCTGGGGAAATGTCCCTTCATTTCTGTCCCAGAGTCTGAGCAGGATGTTAAGGTTTTCTCCGCTTAGACCATCGTCCCCAGAACAGTATTCCCCATTGGAAGATTTCCATCCATCTTTTTGATCTGGGGACAGCTCTAAAATTTTGGATATTACCTCACTTTCTTTTTTTTTGCAACAGTAGTCACCAGTACAAGTGTAATGGTAAACTTTCCCAATGGGACACACAGCAATACAAATTTGGCAGAGGGTTTACCTCTTTCACTTTCTATCATAAAACAAAATGTGGGTTGCCAGTCTGTCGTGTCAACCTAAAGACTTGGTGAGTCACTCACCCAGAACAAGTGTTTAGAAAATGAGTTCTGACATTCCTCTGAGTTCACATGCTTACATATAAATATAGAGCCCAATGTTTTCAGAAAGAGGTTAACAATAGAAGCCTGTATTACTTCATAGTGCTGTCAGTACAAGTTTCCCTTAAGGCATCAAAGAGATAATGAAGGCATTTTTTTTTTAAATAACAGACATGTCATACTTTGTGCAGTGGTTTTGCACAGAGCAGCCCCGATCCTCCCTGGGTCTCTCGACTGTGCTCCTGGCCTCTCCGTCCTGCCAAAGTGCCGTAGAGCAAGCATCTTGATATGGGGGCACCAAAGTTGGCTCACTCCCAAGCTGCTGCTCTGCGTGTCCATGCACACACAGAGCTGCGGCTTGACCCTGTACCCTCTCTCTCCTCATTGCCTCACTGACTTTGATTGACAGCCAATGGCTCCCACTGCTGATTCAGCCAATGAGGAGGCAAAGTACCCGGAAAGCCTTGGCTATTGTGCACAATCGCTGAATTGAGATGGGGCTCAGGTAAGTATTAGGGGGGCTGGTGGGGGGGAAGGGTGTCCTCTGGTGAACACCAAAGGTTTTTTTACCTTTTATGCATAGAATGTGTAAAGGTAAAAATCCTTGAGACTTTACAACCCCTTTAAGACCTCGGTCACACCAATCAGACTTTGAAATCGTGCGACTTCACTTCATGAAGTTGCACGATTTCAAAATAGAATGTCAGTGCGACTTCAGGTGTGATTTGCAAGACATTTGTGCACAGATGTCTATGCAAGTCGCTCCTGAACTTACAAAAAAAGTAGCGCACCACTTTCAAAATCGGTTTGACTTCACCAGGTCGGAATCGCTGATATGACCGCTTTAATTGCTGACCATATGGTACAACTCGTCATGCAATTTGACGCTATCAAATCACATGACAAGTCGCACCGGTATGACCGGGAACTAAAGCTGTGCAGAGTTTTTAGCTCAATTGCTCTTTCTCACAAAATTCTATTATGCAATTGATACTTCTCACAACATCCCATTTCACGACTGGTTCCTAATAAAAATAAGTTGCAAACTATTGTGCAAATTAGAGGAAGTTTTTTTCTGGATATGAAATGTATAAAATCACTATTTATAAGCATCATTTGTGTTTGTGATTCAAAACCAGTTATAATCTGTGTTCAGCAGCATATGAAAATTTGTTTTTCTTCATCTTCAAGGTTGAAAACATTCTGCTAAATGACAGCGGGAATTATGTGCTATGTGACTTTGGTAGTGCAACAAACAGATTTCTCAACCCTCAAAAGTGATGGAGTAAACATAGTAGAAGAGGAAATTAAAAAGTAAGTTTACAACATTTATTGTCCTTAGGGCAAAACAAACGTAACTTAACTTGTCTTTTTTATATGTAGACTTTTCATAAAGTGCAAATACAAGAAAACATAAAACGTAACTTGAAAGTGGCTTTTACATTCCTTTTTCTAAGTGGAATTTCAGTCACACTACAGGGGACACGATAGCCTTCAGATAAATGTTTTTTAATAACTGTAGGTACCTTAACATGGGTCTACAAACTTTGCTTTTAAATCAGGAAGTTTTGCTTGGCACATGTACATGTTCAACCTGCATCAAAGTAATCTCTGTCTGGCCATTCTAAAGACTGCCAATTACTTGCGTTTGCATTGTGCAGTTGGGGGACAGCTCTTCTATATCCTGTAGCAGCATCTCAACCAGAGATAGGAACCACGGTGCCCTGGGTAAAAACCAGGTATCTGTACTATCTGTGCCAGTAGTATGAAGATTTAACACACTGCACAATGGAAAGGCAAGGGTTAAGCTTTTTTTTTTTTAAGTATAGGCAAATATTACAGTTGTACAATACAGATTCAAAAGGTATTCAAACATATTTAGCAATACTCATGCAACCCAAATAGTACGAGCAAAATAAAATATAGTGCCAAAAGAAAAGGTGGAGAAAGTATGGTGATCATCAGTTGTCACAAGGCATAGAGAGCAATTACAATGTCAAAACTGTCCTTTCTACAAAAGCCCCCAGACTACAGTGAGATATCAGCAGATGTATATAAATTGATTATGCATCACATGGGATGTCAGACATTTTAGGTCAGTTCAGCGGAGGATAAAATATTTGGGTGAATGTGTAAGACAGTTAAACCATCTGTCAATAAAGCACATAAAAGTAGCAGAGGAAGTAAAAGGAAGAAAGGAAAAAAAAAATAAAGTTAAGCAAATAAAAAAAAAAGGGGGAAGGGGGGTTAGGGGGGAGAAAGAGGGGTAGAAGGGGGACATAAAGGGGGACCATGGGAGGAGCCCAGGAATGTTGGGGGCCTTAAGACCTTATCAGAGACAAAGGACTCAAACTCAAGACGAATATCTAAAATGAGACCATACTGTCCACATAAGTTTGAACGAGTCAGAGTTATCTTCATCCCATGCAATCATCCGTTCCATGTACTCAGTCTTGTCCACTTCACAAGCCCATTTCGCCAGCGATGGAGCTTCAATCTGGCACCACCGTCGGGCTATCACAGAATGGGCCTCTGTGATAAAGTGCCTAAGTAAGTTCTTTTTAATTTGTCTAAAGAAGCCAGGCAACACTGACAAAATGGTTGGGGACAAAATCATAAATATACCTTAGATTTACTATATTGTGGGTCATGGTGCCAGTCTCCTGTAGGCAGCGCCAGAAGACAACAGACAGCTGGGTCAAATTTATGCAAAATGATAGGGCATCGATACCACCTAGATAAGATCCTATAATTGCGCTCTTGAGAACATACCGACAGTTTGTATAACACAGCCAATATCTTGTCCCAATCCATATCATTTTATTGGACACAGCTGATCACGTGGTAAACGGCCGCTGTGATTGGCCTTTTACCACATTATGTAATCAGCTGTGTCCACTGGACACAGCGATCATGGAGATCGCCGGGGGGGCACGCAGGAGGGTGCGTTTTGGGACGACGTCATATGACGCCCTCCTAGAACTGGACAACCACGCTGTAGCAGTCATTTGGCTATAGCGTGGTTGGCAAGTGGTTAAGGGTATTATCCTTAGCCTTCCTGCCAGGGGTCAAACCACCTGATCAAGATGTACAAGATAAGGGATCAGAGGCGTAAGTCAGTTAGCAATCATTTTGGAATACATCCGCATTTCTATATTTGTAGGGAAATGGGGCGATAGCAGGATCTTTACCCGGTGTGTGCAATACTGTGATACGGGCTTAGAGTGATTGCGTCGGAAAGGGGAGTCCGCCGAGACTGTATTGAATGTTTTGGTAAAGAGTGGGGTGAGGAGATCTCGAAAAGTTTTGTAAAAGCGGGCCGTATACCATTCTGGGCCTGGACTGTTATTGTTTTTAAAGGAGAGTACCATAGCAAGTTCTTCTGTAAAGTTCTTTTAAAGTTCTTGTACCATCTCTAAAGGAATAGTGGAAAGAGTAGGAGTCAATTGGACAGGAAGGTAAGTTTTATATAGAGTTTCATAAAAAGAACAAAGTAAGCCAATAATTTCTGTTAGGCATATAGGTAAGTAGGCCATCTGAGCATTTGAGTTTCTGGATAGAAGCAATGCTATTCTTGGCATGTAATGCCCTGGCCAACATCCACCCAGGTTTGTTAGCATCTACAGAAAACAGTTTACGCAGATTTTCTTTAACCGCTTTTCCGGCACCCTGTAGCAGATATACTGCTACAGGGCAGCAGGGGTGCGCAAAATCATGCATATTTACATGATTTTGCATTTCAGGGTAGGGAGTGCGCACTCCCTACCCTCGCAGCTATTCGCCTCGGCTGTCAATCACTGGGTCCCGGCCGCCACCTGGTGATCACGTAGCATTATCAACGGAGGGAGAGAACTGTATGTAATCAATACAGTTCTCTCCCCTGTCAGCTCCTGCACACTGCTTTAAATGGTTCTGCACAGCAGAGCCATACAAAGCAGTGTGCTTACAGTTGAAAGCACTAACACAGCACACAGTTAACCCTTTGATTGCCCCACATGTTAACCCTTTCTAGTACAGTGTCTGTTGAAGGAGAACAACAAAAGAGAAGCGCACCAACCTTGCGCATTACCTCAGTAACCAAAAATTTATTGAATAAAAGAATGGTACTCACAAACAGCGAATAAAAAACAAGCATGTAAGTCCTCAAGGGGACTTTAGAGGCAAGATGCCCAATGCGAATCCCGTCATGGAGGAAGCCAAAATCACTCAATACATCTGATTTTGCATTTCGAAGGACGTGCCACTCCCTACCTCAGAGCCTGACTTACATGCTTGTTTTTTATTCGCTGTTTGTGAATCAATACCATTCTTTTATTCAATAAATTTTTGGTTACTGAGGTACAATGCGCTTACAGTTGGTGCCTTCTCTTTATTGTTGTTCCCCCCCCCCCCCCCCCCCCCCCCCCCCCCCCCCCCCCCCCCCCCCCCCCCCACTGATCCCCTGGGGATGTCCCACCAAGTCCCCCCCCCCCCCCCCCCCCCCCCCCCTAGTGTCAGTATGCCCGTCGCAATCCCGCTATAGGTCGCTGATCGTTGCCATTACTAGTAAAAAAAAAAAAAAAAAAAAAATCACAGTATATATACTGCCATTTGTAAACGTTATGACTTTCACATAAACTAAATTTACATGTATTGGGATATTTTTATTTTTTTTTAGCAAAGACATGTAGCAGAATACATTTTCGCCTACATGTATGACAAAATTAAATTTTTTTACTGAATATGTTTAATGGCAAAAAGTCAAAAATATTGCTTTTTTTCTCTCTAAATTGTCTGTCTTTTTTTTTCTTATAGTGCAAAAAATAAAAACCGCACAGGCAATCAAATACCACTGAAAGAAAGCTTCTATTCATAGGGAAAAAAAGGACGTAAATTTAATTTGGGTGCAGTGGTACGGTCATGCAACGCTGCGCCGTAACACAAAAAATGGCCTAGTCAGGAAGGGAGGTAAATCCTCTGGAGGGCAAGTGGTTAGTTTTCTGGTCCAGTAGTTCTAAAATTCGGAGTCTAGCATCAGACAGTGCAAGCATGGTAGTGGGAGACTGACTCCTCTTATGAGAGTTTTCCAATGTGGAGATGCGGTTTGAGAAATCCACAATCTGAGCAAGACATTCCCTCTTAAAGCAGAGCTTTACCCAAAAGGGGAAGTTCCGCTTTAATACTTTGCCCCCCCCCACCTCCACTCCACCCCCATCAAGGGTTAACACCGCTTCCGATCGCCTAGGAGATCGCAGTGAAAGTGGGAGCGGGTACCTGTCAAATTCGGGTACCCGCTCCCACTTCCACTGCGATCTTGTAGGCGATCGGAAGCAGAAGTTGTCCTCCCTCTCCATAGTCTTCTGGGACACGTGACAGGGCCAATCACAAAGCGCAGCGCTTCTCGTGCATGCGCAGTGGGCACCCGGCTGTGAAGCTACAAGCTGTCACAATCAGGTGCCCACACTAAAGATGCTGGTGCCAGGGAAAGAAGACGGCCAGTGAAACCAGCGGCGGTGAGGACACCGCTGGAATGAGGGACAGGTAAATGTCTGTAATTTACAAGTCAGCAGCTACAGTTTTTGTAGCTGCTGACTTTTATTTTTTTTTTTTTAGCTGGAACTCCGCTTGAAGTCTGGATACATGCTTCATAAAAAAGCCCTGACACACACTTTAATGCCTCCCAATTAATAGGGGCAGAGGTATCGTATGCTTCTTTTAATCTGAAAAAGGGATCACTTTAACAATGCCATAGTCGGTACCATGGAGATATATGCTTTCTGTCCCTGACCCATCCCTGTACAATATCTATGCACAGGTGTGTGACGCATAAGGTGCTAGAGTTATATGGCCGGTAATAAATACTCAGTTAACCCTATTCCCTTGGATACCTGGCTCAAAACTCTTTTGACTTGCTTTGCATTTAAAGAAACCTTTTCCCTAGAATGACACTCTGTAGTAGTTCTGACTTTTGCATGTTGTTCAAGCCAGATGCACATTCCCAGCGCAGAGTTAAACAAAGGCATAACAGATGCATGGTTTTAAAATACATTTCTAGGTTCTGCTGGCCTGTGTGTGCACACTCTGTCTTTCTCTCAACAGCAAGTGTGGTAGCAGGCAGGGAAGGGGCATGAATTAGTTGAAAACCGCAACTGGGAAGGCAAAAGCAAGGATCTAACACTCCCAGAAGTATTGGATTCCTTTTTAACTTGCGGCACCAGTAAGATGAGGAAGAAAAATTGATTTAAAGAGAAAGTGGGGACATAAGTAATATTTTACCTCTTGAAGGCTTTAAAGTAAAAAGTGAGATCTGATAAGTCTCCTTTACAACAGTGATT